TCTTTCCATGTCTTGAAGACCAGGGGCTTAAGTGTTAATTTATGTTTTAGCCTGAGGCTCTGTTTGGTAAAAATAACAGTTAATTGATAAGCTAGCTGATAACTTATAGCTTATGGCTGGTGATTGATAGCTTATAACTTATAGCTGATGACTGATGACTTATAGCTAATAAGCTAATTAAAGTGTTTGGTAAAATTAACAGTTCAATTAGTTGACAAATTAAAATGAAATAAAATACTTTTAATATATAATTATTTTATTTAAATTAAAATAAATTATAATGGGTGGTATTGGATTTTAGTTAAAATGATAAGGACAAAAGTGAAAGAAAAAATGATAAGCTATAAGCTATAAGCTAAAACGGTATTTAAAATAGCGTCTGGAAAATAAGCTATAAGCTAGTAACATAAGCTATAAGCTCATGATGAAAAAACTGTTACCAAATATGCCTTTTATTGTCATATGAGCTTATAAGGTAAAAACTCGAAAAATGTCTTGCCAAACAGAGTCTGAGTCTTTGTTTATATTAATTGTACACTACGCTATTACTTCTTTCATATCATAAGGCATGTTTGTTGGTTTATTTAGTTGAGTTGTATATTTAACATTGAACCATTCTAATTATTGTTGTTGCTCACTAGGTTATTGATTGGGAAAAAGTGAGAGGGGGTTATCATATTTAAAAGGAGTCCTAAATAGAAATACATTGAGGGTAAAATTAAGAAGATGGGCATTGAGCGAGGTGCTTGTTCATCTAAGATACTTTGTAATAATTCTATTAAAGAGTGGATCTCCTTTCTTAGATATGGTGTCTTCCAGGCGAGGTGTTGTTTGCACCAAACCGGATTACCAATTCTCTTGTGTTCTTTATTGTTCTTACTTTGATTCTTTGTTACTATCATATTGTGTAAAATTTGGTTTAAAAAGTTGGACAAGTTATCTCAGAAACCTGGTCCAGCATTTGTCCCCTGAGAAACATAATTTTAATGCTTTTGATAAACACAACTAAAGGAAATCATAACAAGCGGCTAAAGATGCAAGTAGGCTAAGTAGGGTTTGATGATCACTACAAACATCCTCTAATGATGAAACCTAAATGACCTCATTTTAAAGTAAAATTTAAGCAAGTTTCTATAAGATTGAAGTACTTGACAAGTCTTGAATCTTCAAAGTGTGAAAGCTCTCCCTGTGGCATCTGAGTGAACAACATGTTATAAAAGTAACACACACACACACACACACACACACACACACACACACTCTCTCTCTCTCTCTCTCTCTCTCTCTCTCTCTCTCTCTCTCTCACACACACACACACACAACACACACATATACACACACTAAATAAATGTTTTCAAACCTATTTTTCTTAAATAATTATTCCTAAAAATATTTTGAACTCATATGAGTGTAATCAGGAACGTTCTAAATGATTTTGGATACAATTTATAGTGTCTAATCGATTGACACATATACCCAATTAATTGAATCAGTGTAAAAATTATCCTTAATCATTTATGATAATTTCTTAATGAACGAAAGCAGCTATATATCTTACCCTTCCTTTTTAAACAACCTAAATGATTAGTTTGAGGTCTTCTAATCGATTGGAGAAAGATGCCAATCGATTTGCACATTGATTTTGGCCCAAGAAACTTTCCTTTTTCGTGCCATCCTCTAGCCTATAAATAGAGGACCTTTCCTTCATATTGTCACATCCAGAATCGTGAGATTTCATATCTCACTCCTTACTTTCTTTACAATATTTTCTCACTTTCTATCACTTAAAAATTTAGTTGTAGTGCTTTCGAGAAAAGTCTTTTGCAAGTGAGGCATCTTTGTAATTCTTGAAGGGTAGTATTGTAAATTCACTAAGGAACATTTTTATCTTGGTTGAATAATTTATCCAATTAGGAATTTTTTGGTGGGGTTCAAATCTAAACCCTTTAAAAGCTTTTTGTTTGGACATTTAGATACTAAGTCACTGATTCAGTTCGAAAGTTCAGCCCGTTCAAAATCTTTCACCGGTTTGAGATTAACCCAATGTAAAATCTCACTTTGGTTCATAGTTATCTTGGTAAAAACTCTAGTTCGGTTCATAAGCTCAACCCAGTTAAAAGTTTGCTAAGGTTTGCGATAAGCCTGATATAAATCTCATAGGTTCGTGGTCAGTCCGTCAAAGCCTCGGTTCGGCTTGTGAGTTTAGCTAGGATTAAAAGTGTACCCAGGTCCAACATCAGCCCGACATAAAATCTCAAAGGTTTTGGTCAGCCCGTCAAAACCTCGATTTGACTCGTGAGTTAAGCTTGGATTAAAAATCTCCCTTAGGTTTAAGATCATCTCGTGTAAAATCTCAGTTTAACTTGGGGACTAACCGCTTCAAGTTTGAAAAAAGACTAACCACTTCAATCTGTTGTTTGGAAGAAAGACTCACCGCTTCTCTCCTTGTTCGCTTTTAAGATTTATTGGATATTCTCAAGAATAAATCTTAGGGAAAGGATCAAGTCTTTTCTTTTTTACTGAACCTTTATAATTTCCGGTGTTATATCTCTATCCCTTAACTCTTTACTTACCACATTTTAAAATTCACAATTCACCCCATCTTCTATGCACAATCATATGTCCAACAATTTTATCAAACACGTGTTAATTGTGAGGCTTACAAAGAAGGTCAACCATCTCTCCGATGAACTTGACAATGTTCAAGGACAAGACAAATCATCTACACCCACATGCCATATCTCCAATTTTTGAGAGATTTATAAATGATGGAAGATTATGCGTTTGAGAGTGTGACACTAACTTACTCTTAGAGCATCTTTAATGGGAGCAACTAAATTGGATGAACTAAGTTATTTTACGTGGGTCCAAATTGACATGAAAGATTTAAGTAATCCAAAATTGAATTAAGAAGTTTTTACTTCAATGGTGATTCTTTATAAGGAAATCAAACTTGATATTAAATGGTTAATAAAAATCTATTATTTATGTTAAATAATGAGTTAGAGTACGTTACTTGTGTAGAGCACGTAAACTAGTTTTAGAGCATCTCATATGCCATGTCAGCTCTACTATAATGCAAATCCCTTATTACTAACGTAAGCTATACAAAATTTTAGTTTAACAACTATGCGCAAAAGTTGCTCAAATTGAATGACGTGGCTATATATAAAATATATATATATATATATATATATATATATATATATATATATATATATATATATATATATATATATATATATATATATATATATATAACATTTTTATGTAATTATTTAAAACAAAATAATATACAATTTTTAGAATTGTGTGTTCATTCATTGTGTTTGTTGGTAAATTCAACAAAATTTTCGAATTTAAAGTTCTCAAAAACACATTTTAAATTCCAAAAATTTTGAAAACAATTCTAGGATTTTTTTTTTTGATTTTTAAGAAATTCAAATTTATAAATTAATTAATTATTTTTTTCATTCTAGTGCTCCTTGGATTCGATTGACCACTGTCGTTACTCTCTCATCATTGGCACACAAGTCACTCTTTAATTAGCGGATTCCAAACCATCATTTCATTCCACTTTAACATCTCAGTACAAGTCCACCCACACCGTCAACCGGTTCAACCCGTCCCCTCTCGTAGCCAATCCTTTCTCAAACCACCCTTTCCCTCCACCGGTCCACCCGGTTCCCAGTTACCCACTCTAAGACTTCATTTGGACTTCATTTCAACACACATTTCACTCCCATTTCTTCTCAAATAAATTCCCCCGAAATTCTCTTCCATTTCCATTTCTGAAATAAACGTTAATCTCTCTCTCATGTTTCCACGCTATCATCGATGGAGATTGAAGTAAAATTCTTCCATGTTTCAGATCTCACTGTTTCATAAAGTATAAAACTCTTCACATTTCCATTCAAAGCTATTTCAGTTTCTGAAGATTCTCGTCACCGGTGAGATATTTACGCTTTCAGAAATCTCAATTTTGTGCTATTTTTACTTTTCTATTTTTTCTGAATTCGCTTGATCATTGCTAGAATCACTTTTACTTAATATAAAATCTTCTGCTGATTCCCGATGTTCCTAATTTTTGTTTTGATAGTATTTGCTTGTCGACATCAAGAGTTATTATATTTAGGGTTAACTATTTTGTAAAATTTGGGAGAAAAAGTTTTATTTATTTATTTATATTATTGTAAGCTATAAATGAGTAATTTCTCAAAAGGCTAAGTACCAATTGATCGTGAAATCACTTTTTTTAGGCTTAGTGTGTGTATGGTTTTACAATGACGAGACTTGATTTTGTAGAATTAATTTGGCTTATAAGTGAGTTGAACGAGAATTGATTATGAATAAATTGATTATTTAGAATTGATTATGTTTGAATATATTTTTACATTTATGTAAAATGAGTTCAACAACAAATTTCATGGTAACAATCATGTAAGTGTATGTTTGATTTAGTTTTGGAAGAGTCAAAAGCAGGGTGTAGAATTGATTTTGAAATGATTTTGAGGTGTTTGGTTCTTCTAAAGTAGAACTGATTTTGCCTACAGAATTGATTCAGCAAGAATTTGTAGCTTTTGAGTTTAAAGGTGATTTCTACATTGAAATTTATTTTTCAACTCATTTCTACATAAATCTCTTTACCTTCAAGTCACTTTTAACTAGAATCAATTTTTCAAAATTAATTCTTTTCAGCGCAGAACCAAACACTTGCTAAAGCTACAAATTCTAACTTCAACTAAAATCAATTCTAAGAAGCAAAATCAGTTCTACTCTTAAGAAAACAAACATGTCAAAATCAATTTTACACTTCTAGAATTGTCTTTGGCCCTTACCAAACATATATACTTAGATGAAGAGGTTCCTAATTTTTTTTATGATGGTTTGTGTCCAGTTATCTGATGCCCATCTGGTGGTCCGGAGAAATCAAAATCTAGGTCTTCAATTTTGTGTTTTGTCAGCCGTAAAAGTTTCAATTTTCAACTAGCGAAGCGGATATGAAAACATTAACGGTTATTACTGAGCATTCTTTTTCCAGTTTACTGGAATTTGCTTCTAACAACGATATTGAAGGATTTAAGCTGCTTTTAGATAAAGATGGGGCTTCTTCAATTAATGAGGCAGGGATTTGGTACGGTCGGCAAAATGGGTCCAAGAAGATTGTTATGGATTATAAAACTCCTTTGATGGTTGCTGCTGCTTATGGTAGTATTGATGTTATGAAACTTATACTCTCGTATCCGGAAGCCGATGTGAATTTTGCTTGTGGGGTGAATAAAAGCACTGCCCTTCACTGTGCTGCTTCTGGTGGGTCTGTTAATGTTGTTGATGCTGTTAGGTTTCTTATAACAGCGGGTGCCGATGTTAGTTATGTTGATGCCAATGGAAATCTTCCTGTTGATGTCATTGTTGTTCCTCCCATGCTGCAAAGCATGAAAGCGGTTCTCGAGGAACTTCTTTTGGATAATGGTTTTGATAATGGCTCTGTGGGTGAGTTTTTTGGTCCGGTGTCTGTTGATGCTTCTAGTCTTGGTTCACTTGAAAATGGGATGCCGTTGCCATACTCTCCTTCAGTGTCACCACCTTCTCCAGTGGCGGATTTGAAGTTTACTGAGAAGAAAGAGTATATAGTTGATCCATCAATTCCTGATATAAACAACAGCATATATGCAAGTGATGAATTTCGGATGTTTTCTTTCAAGGTCCGTCCTTGTTCTCGTGCGTATTCTCATGATTGGACTGAGTGTCCGTTTGTTCATCCGGGAGAGAATGCTCGGAGGAGAGACCCTAGGAAGTTTCATTACAGCTGCGTGCCTTGCCCAGAATTTAGGAAAGGGACTTGTAGGCGTGGAGATATGTGTGAATATGCTCACGGAGTATTTGAGTGCTGGCTGCACCCAGCTCAGTATCGAACACGCCTCTGTAAAGATGGCACTAGTTGTAATAGAAGGGTGTGTTTTTTTGCACACATTGCAGAGGAATTGAGGCCATTGTATCCGTCAACTGGATCTGCGGTTCCTTCACCACGTTCATCTGGATCTGCTCTTAATGTGATGGACATGGCTGCTGCGATGAACCTTTTGCCTGGTTCACCCTCATCAGTCTCTTCCATGTCTCCTCATTTTGCCCAGCCAATGCCCCCTTCTGGGAATGGCATCTCATTTTCAAGTGCTGCTTGGGGACAGCAAAATGTTCCAGCTCTTCATTTACCAGGAAACAATCTTCAATCTAGTCGATTGAGATCTTCTTTTAGTGCTCGCGACATTCCGCCTGAAGACTTCAGTGTGCTTAGCGATTTTGATGGCCAACATCACCTTATGAATGACTTGAGCTGTTTTCCGCAGCCCCATCCTGGCTCTTGTCGGTCTAAAGCACTAACACCATCAAATCTTGAAGAGCTCTTTTCTGCCGAGATTTTGTCATCTCCCCGATATTCTGACCCACCAATGCCTTCTGTTTTTTCCCCCTCACATAAATCAGCTGCTATGAATCAGTTTAAACAGCATCAAAATATGTTATCGCCTATAAATACTAACATGCTATGTCCTAAAAATGTTGAGCATCCTCTGTTACAGGCTTCATTTGGTGTCCCTTCTTTGGGTAGGATGTCACCTAGAAATGTTGAACCAATCTCCCCAATGAGCCCTCGAATGTCTGCATTTGCTCATCGCGAGAAACAACAGCTGCGGAGTATTAGTTCTAGGGACCTTGGTCCAGTAAGTATTGAACCAATGTCCCCAATGAGCCCTCGAGTGTCTACATTTGTTCATCATGAGAAACAACAGCAACAGCTGCGGAGTATTAGTTCCAGGGACCTTGGTTCCAACATTCCTGCCTTAGTTAATGGATCCCCTACATGGTCTAAGTGGGGATCTCCCAATGGGTTGGCTGATTGGTCGGTAAATGGAGACGGTCTAAGTTGCTCAATGCGCAGTGCATCCTCATTTGAACATAAAATCAATGGGGAACAAGAGCCTAATCTATCATGGGTCCAATCACTTGTGAAGGATTCATCACCTGAGATGATTAAAGAGAAGTTTGCATCTTCTGGCCCTATTGCATCCGGTGATGAATTGAATTCCAATTCACAAATTGAATCTATTGATCATTCTGTTTTAGGAGCTTGGCTTGAGCAAATGAAACTGGATCGGCTTGTAGTCTAAGCAGTTGTGTCTTTTCTGTGTAATGTGTTCCACCGTGTTTCCCCACACATCTTATTGAGATAGGTATTTGATTTCTTAAGGTACATATTCTTTTGATTCCAAGAAAAGAATAACAATAATTCATTCAATATTTTGCTAGAGAGCTTAAAAAGAGATGAAGAACCGTCTCTTTGGGCTTATATTCATCAATACAGCGAGCAAAAATCCTGTGGAGGTCGTGTATTTTTCTTCCAAACCGCCCCGTGTTCAGGATTCTTTCCATTTCCATTGAAGAAAGCTAGATGATTTACAAAGCAACAAAACCAATAACTTATTTGATTGATTTCAAGTTCTTTCTCAAGTTGTCAGTGCCTATATATTTATAATATTGATTTTATCTTTCTGAAGGAATAATTGCAGGTAATTTGCACGGCTAAATATTTACCGCAGATCACTATGAAATTGTGAAGTTCATTATGTTCATTTTGTGTAATAATTTGGATTCTACCTGTTATCATTTCATTTTGGAATTAAATTATTATGTGCTTTATTTATTGTCTTATGTTTGGCTTAATTGCAATTATGGTCCCTTTATTTTGTACTTTTTTGGGTTTTGGTCCCTCTATTTTAAAAGTCACGATTTTAGTCCCTTTTTTAAGTTTTGAGTTTGATTTTAGTCCCCTCTCCAATTTTAATTTTTTTTAATGATGTGGCACTATCTAAGATGACGTGTCAATGCCAAGTCATTTTTAAAAAATTAATTTAAGACTTTTTTATTGACTAGGATAATTAACTTATTAATATTATTTTAATTAATTAATTAATGATTAATATTTTATTATTAATTTTTATAATTAATTAATTAATCAAAATTTTAAATGAAACTATTTGGGTCTTTAGTTATTGACCATGTCTTTAGTCCATCTTTCTAACCCACAATTGAATTGTTGTATTTGTTTCAGCTTTATAAACACTTTTATGTATTATACAAAAAATCAATATGAGACTTCTAAAAGACATTTTATACTACACCAATATCTCATTCTTCTTCATTGCAGTAACTTCTCCTTGTTCTCAAACTTGTGTCCATTGCAACAACTTATGCTTCTCCATTGCAACACCTAACATTATTCTCATTTTATCTGAACACATAACCAACTATGATTAGAATTCAAATTTCACATCATTTAGTGTTTAATTCATGTTTTAGGAATTCAACACAGATTTACGTAGTGAATATATATTGACTACTCAACTCAACTCTCTCATTAACTTAATACCAACTACAATTACATTGAAATATTTATCTTTTAAAAAACTACTATGATAACTAATATCTATAAAACTTTTACACTAATCCATAATAGTTTTCTGTCATCAAATTTAACACCGCACCGTTGACATTAACATTTGACACATCTTGATAGCAATATCATATAACTATAGATTAATAAGAAAAATTAATACTATATAAAGATAAAATTAGTATCCAATATCCAGCCATTTTCCCCTTCAGCACAAGTGGATTGATACTCGTTTAAACTCAATTTTGGAAACCTTATTGATGATATGTTTCATATAATTTAGAAGAAAGTAAATTTTATATATATATATATATATATATATATATATATATATATATATATATATATATATATATATATATATATATATATTGTGGTTTAAGCAAGCTATACTCATATTAGTTTAATGAACAAATTGAGAACCAAACAAAGAGCAATACTAGCATGATGAAACTCTGGCAAATTCAAGAGCTTTCACTTTAATGCTTATTAATGCCTTTACAGGAAATTCTAATTCTATATGGTAGTACGTCTTCTAATTGTTTTAGAAGTGATAGAATGACAATATGGTTGTATGGAATGCCTTTTGCCTGCAATTTTTGTTGTTGTATAGTGCTTATTTTGCGATCGTGATTCTTCTATTAAAGTTATTTGGTTATTTTGATTTATTGTTTCTTCTTTTCTTGTCTGAGACATCTCTTTTTCATAAGTTGTTACAATGAACACAAGTTTGAGAATAAGGAGAAGTTGATGCAATGAAGAAGAATGAGATATTGTTATAGTATAAAATGTCTTTTAGAAGTCCCATATTGATTTTTGTATAAGACATAAAAGTGTTTATAAAGCTGAAACAAATATAACAATCAATTGTGGGTTAGAAAGATGGACCAAAGACATGGACCAATAACTAAAGGTGCAAAGAGTTTCATTTAAAATTTTGATTAATTAATTAATTAAAATAATATTAATAAGTTAATTATCCTAGTCAATAAAAAAAGTCTTAAATTAAATTTTTAAAAATGACCTATCATTGACACGTCATCTTAGATAGTGTCATATCATTAAAAAAAAATTAAAATTAGAGAGGGGACTAAAATTAAACTCAAAACTTAAAAAAGGGACCAAAATCGTGGTTTTTAAAATGGGGGGACCAAAACCTAAAAAAATACAAAATAGAGGGACCATAATTGCAATTAAGTCCTTATGTTTTTTATACTTTTACTTTTTCATTAAGTGATACTTCATCACAGAGATTTAAACCCTAAAAACATCTAATCCTTATCTTGTTTTTATTAATTTTTATTTATTTATAAAAAAGTAGCACTAACAATCAGGTAGAATGTCCAAAAGCCTGTGCCATTAAGCCAACTGCTCAAGTTGTTAACTGTGCAGACAGACATATGATTGCTGGAGTGAGTTTGAACCCTTACATTCATACTTATTCAACTCTAATAGGTGAGTGTGAGTTTGAACCCGGACATTCCCATTTATTCAACTTTAATAGGTGAAATTACAAGTTTTTTAATCGGCTTAAACTCGAAGGCACGATATAAATTGTTTATGAAATCATTTCTATAATGACTTCCAATCTTCATGACAGAAAAACCGTATCAATTCTCTGTTTTCAAATTTGTTGAATGACAAACATGCCAGCACCAAAGCACAAATGAAATGTCATTGTGGAAGGTGACATGGATCATTCGTAAAAGCTACATGCCAAAGGTTGAGCAATCAATCATGTGACAGCTCCACTCAGGGAAGCATTAGTTTTTTTAGTGCTAGTGGAGTGTGAAACCAATTTGGTTAGGCAAGAAGAGCTATTGTTGGTACTGTTCAATCTCTCTTGAAAAAGACGTTTTGGACACTTCTTTCCTATCCTAGACTAATTTTTACATTGATTGAAAGGCACTTAATTGCATTTTTCCTAAGAAAAGATTCAAACTTATCGATGAATCCAATGGTATTGCTAACTATGATGCTTTTTGCAAACAGACATATAAATAAACACGATGGCAAGGTGATAGTTCTCATATCAAAGATGGCTATCTAAATATAGATGTATAGATTTGATTTATTTAGTAGATCACGTTGAAATATTTCTATAAATGTTTTAAAAGTGATAGTGGGATAGTGAATTGATTTTTTTTTTAGTTTTACATTGAAGAACTTTCATATGTTTCAAGTGTTTATATGGTGATGGTGGACGAATTCTTTTTGAGAGTATACAAATTTTAAGAACTGAGAAAAGAATATTAATATTTCTCACAACGCGCACAATGTTCGATTGGCTAAGGCGGCATGTTTTTAAGTGAACACAAACCTTAAAACCATTTTAGAGTAAGAGAGGTTCAGATGCGCTTAGGAGTCATTGATACATTTTAGAATAGATGGTGCTGATATTGATGCAAAAGTATAACAACAAAAATTGGTGAAGAAAAAATACATACTGGAAAACTTGATTGCAAGTTATTTGATGAAGAAAAAATGCATAACGAAAAACTTGATTGCAAGTTATTTGTTGAAGAAAAAATACATACCGAAAAACTTGATTGCAAATTATTTTCTAAAGAAAAAATACATCCCAAAAACCTTGATTGCAAGTTATTCGAAAAAGAAAAATCACAGATCGGAAAACTTTAGACAAAGTTATTCGGTACACTTTGGTATGGGTGTGAAATGATAAATATTAAATAATAAAATTATTTTATAAGTGAAAATAATAGAATTGAAAAATTATAAAAAAAATATATGGATAGAGAAATAATGGTAGGGGTACGAAGTAAAATTTTTCTTGCATAATTGCACTTTGGCCCAATTTATTTATGCTTATCCTTTATACTTTCCGCACACAACTTTATTTTGACGACTTGTAGAGATGATCGCGACTTTCTATGTCTAACTGAATTAACTGCAAGTGCATAGTCTATCGCGTAGTAATAATAGATATCGATCCCACAGGGACTCGTAATCAAGCTAGTATTTTCGGGTGTTACTGTGTTTAGCTAGGTTGGTAATGTTTTAGGGGAATAAAAGCAAAATAAGTGCGTAAACTATAAGGGAACTAAAGCGTTAATTAAGGTATAAATGCTTGAACCGGTATGTAATATGTTAGTTCTTCAGGGATTCTACAAGTCACTGGTGTTTTGGGTGTTTTCAAAAATAGTTTAAGAAGAAAGTGACGGTTTAAAGACCTTTGTCTCACTACGGTTGTTGACGCTAGTCGCAACTGTAAGGCAGAACGTATGCTGTCGCTATCCCGTTCGCGGTTAAAATTACTTTTTGAAAACCATTAAGCTCTAATCCTTTTTAAAGCACTGTCGCTGTTTTTAAAATGAATGTTTAGTTTTTACTATCCGGACTTAACCACAGCTGTCGCTTGTTGGTTCGTACCTTTGTGAATTTCCCACTGTCGTGGTAAAACTGCTTTTAAATAAGTTCTCGCTGTCGCGACGAACATTTATTTTAGAAAAATCGATTTTAAAAACTGAAGCCATAAATAAGTTTTGAAAAGGAAATTAAACACCGGTTAATTATCGAATCCCATCCGATTACTTATTACATACCGATTACTTAAGATTTAGCCGGACATGGAATATAATTTAACAACGCGTAAATAATGGCAGAAAATAATAATATGCATTATAATGGGGAATGAAAATCAATTAACGATTAAAATAAGAACCTGTAAACAATTCGATTGGCTTTTGGGAAATCCTC